TCTGCGGGTCTCCCACCTAACCTGGCCTGCTTTCAGTGCTAAGCCCAGGCTGGGTCTGGTGCTGATAACACATTCTTTCAACAGGAAGTGCCTCCATTTTCAGTTGTCTGTGGGAGGGTGGAGGGCAGATAAGCTGTGAATGGAAACACAGAGCAGATTTCTGCCCCACCCTCGTTGCACTTTGATCAGAGAATGAGCGAGGCCCTCCGCCTGCCCAAGCTGCCTGCAGCCGTGGGCATTCCAAAGTGCTCTCCTTTACTTTTGTTCAGGAACGTTCGTTAGTTTAGGTTAGTGAAGTGCCTGTTTTGCTATTTTGAGATGTCTGTGATCTGAACTAAAGTCATTTGAAGGATTTAACTAGATGTGGGAATACATAAATTTATACTTGTATTTTTGAGTCTGTGTACTGGGTCCAGGGTCATAATAAGTTTTCTCTGATTTTCTCCCCAAATTGTACTGATTCTCAGTAGGTAGCTCTTGAATATCACCAATGAGGGAAAGGCCTTAAGATGAACAATGATATGACGAGGCAGGTTTCTTAAGGAGAGTTGTTGGGCCAATCCCAGACTGCTTCTGTAGTTAGAATACAGGTTTTGAGAGCTCAGGTTACACCAATGAACCCTTGTAGTGTGTTTGGTGTTTTAGCTTATGTGGAGCCATGTTTCACATGTGCATGGCTGGCCAGGCTCCAGCCTGTGCCAGGCGGCATGGAGGTGACTTCAGGGGTGCAGTGGGCACCTTCTGATCCTCCCTTCTCTGTTAGTGCCTACACTCTGATTCCTCCCTGTTTTTTCATGCTCCTTTATGACTCCATCCAGGCTGGCTTATCCCTCAAATGCTTGTGTTGCATGTTTCTGGTGCCGCTGTCTTCTACTCTTCCTCAAAGTTAGACTGTACTATGCTGTTCAATTAAAATGGTCAAAAAAAGGTATAGATGGCTAATAGGTTGGGCCCTCTCAGATGCTCCCCTGTCCCCCACCTCCTCCTGGGTTCCCTTGAAATACTTTTGCATGTGCATGGATAAGTTGTAATTATGACATAGAATTTATATCCTGCTGTTTTTCACTTGACATTGCATTACAGGATTTTTTTCCGTTTTGCTACATGATCTTATTTTTAATAATTGTGTAATAGCTCATTGAGCGGATGTCCCTTGCTTTTCCAAACCATCCCCATATCATTAGACATTAGATTATTTCCATGGTTTCCACTATTATAAGGAACCCTGCAATGGATGTCTTCCCGTGTGGAGCCTTTCCCTTCCTTTGAATTCTTTCCTTATAAAACATTTCCAGAAGTGAAATTACAGAGGTAAGTAGGGCATAACATTCTTGATGGCTCTGCTTCTACTGCCTTCTAAGGCGAGTACCAGAAAAAGCCCCACGGCCGTGGATGAGGCTACTGGGGTTATCACAGTCTTCATCATTATGATCTCGTTATGTATCGTTGCATAAAAATTTTAACTAATTTTTTTATTGAGGTATGATTGACATACAAAAAAGCTGTGCATTGCAGGATTTCATGTTTAAATACTGTAACCCCCCACCCCCCTCCAGTGCCGGCCCCGTGGCTTAGTGGTTAAGCTAAGCTACTGGTGGCCAGGGTTCAGATCCCGGGCACGCAGCGACACACCGCTTCTCCGGCCGCGCTGAGGCAGTGTCCCACATATAGCAACTTCAAGGATGTGCACTTATGACATACAACTATCTACTGGGGCTTTGGGGAGAAAAAGAGAAAAAAAAAGGAGGAGGATTGGCAATAGATGTTAGCTCAGGGCCGGTCTTCCTCAGCAAAAAGAGGAGGATTGGCATGGATGTTAGCTCAGGGCTGATCTTCCTCACAAAAAAATAAATAAATAGCGTACCCCTCTTTAAAAATAAGGTTCTTAAGCCTTGAGCACAAGTACTTGTCCTGTTTTTTTCTGACAGATTCAGATGTTGCTTTTGATTTCAAACGAGCTGTTTTTTCAGGAGCTCATCCATTGGAATTTGGGATTTGCCCGCCCTTTGACGGCAGGACTCCTTGCTTGCCATATAGCTTAACAGTTTTGTCACAAAAAGGAAAAACTACTGGTTTTTCAACAGGTAGTTTTGGGGGTTATTGTTCAGGTGTAAGAACGGTATTCAAGGTATTAAGATTTCTTTAATGTGGCTTATTTGAAACAGGGCCAGTGAGCCTTTTGAAGGGCTGTGGAAGCACCTTGCTTTCTGTTTGCAAAAAGCTGTCGGTAACAATTAGAATAGGGTCCTCGTTGAGGTGGTTCTCGCTGAGCTCTGGATGAGTTCCCGCTGCTGCTGCACCTGGTGATGGTCACTCACCTGGGCCCACGGATGGAATTGGGGGGATTAAATTAGGTCCACGCTCCTTAACCTTAAAGTAAAATAAAATACTAACAGTAGCGTATACTTAAGTAGTCTTTACTATTGTCAGACACTGTTGTAAGGGCTTTACATATATTAGCTAATTTAATTCTTGCAACAAACTTATGACTTAGGTGCCTCTTCTTATTTCCATTTTAAAGGTGAGGAAACTGAGGCACAGAAAGTTTTAGGTCAGGCCTTCTACTTTACTTCTCCCACATTGTCTCTTTGACTCGTTTGCTGGCTTTTCTTATGAACAGGCCTCCCCACGTCCTGCGTGCCTCCACTTTGAACACTCTTTCCTCACCAATAATAATAGCTTCCCTTTATGGAATGTTTAACATGATGAGGCCCCATATGGATGCTTTTACAAACATTATGTCATTTAATTATCACAGACAAACATTTATGTCATTTAATTGTCACAGCCATACTTGAGGTAGGGAATACGAGGGCCAGTTACCAAGGAGGAGGCTCAGGGAGGTGACTGCACTGAGTAGGTGGCTGAACCAGGATAGGATTTGAAAGCTCAGGCTGTCCCCACCACGAAGGCTGCCTGTGGCTCATGCCCAGGAATCCTTCCCCCTCTGCAATTCCTTTTCTGACCCCTTGCTCCACGTCCCTGTCCCAGCTACTCATTTATCCTGCAATGGTAGGCAGTTGAACAGTCTTATTTTCAAGTGTGTATGTGTCCTGGCTCCCCTTGCCACCTGGGAGCTCGTCCAGGGAGCGACTCGTAGTCCCAGTGCCTGGCTCTCATAGGTACCTTGCTAGTGTTTCTTGTTGCTGACTTGTGGTAGTGACGACAGACCCCTCTGTTATCTCAGCGCCACTGGCCATTTGCAGTGGGCTGCTTCCTGGGCCAATCCGGGCACCCTCTTCATTCCAGAAAATAGCACTTGCTGTGGGGAAGGCAGATAAATGCAGATGTGCTTTTTGAGGGAATAGGTAGACCAATTCAAAGTCGAGTGTGACATAAATCATTTATAAGGGAGCTCACTTCCTGCTAATTGTATGATAGCTCCTTTGTAAAATGAAGTATCCTTTTGTAATTGATTATTACCCTTTTGTTTATTTCTTCAGGGGTAGCAGAAATTCTGGACTTAAGGGCTAAAGTTAATCACCATATTTATACGTGTAACCAAATCCATAGCTTTAGTTTGTTTGACAGGATTCTTCAGCTATTTCAAAATTTTCACAAGAATCTATTTTAAATTTTAGACATCTCAATGACTTTGTGAAATTTGCTTTTTTATGCACCTAAAGTCCTCAGTTTAAGACTTTAAGTTTGTGTTATTTAAAAAGAAGTTTGGGTGTGGGGAGTCCTGTTGTTGCTGGATTTTCACAGCCCCTCATTTTTGCTAGGAAAGGGAAGGATTGGTTACTTGTGGAGGGGCTGGGTTTGGTCTGTCCAGCTGGGAGGAATTTGGGATGGGCAGACAGGAAGTCACAGGGTCAGACTTCCTGAAGCCCCGCCTCTCAGCCTAGTGTGGTTATTGTGAGGATTAGAGAAAAAAACAGATTTTCGGGAAAGAGTAGGATCCCATTTACTTCCAGGCCCCCAAGGGGAGCCGCGGAGGCCCGCCACATCTTCCATTCAATTTAGCCTGTGTCTGGTGCTTCTCAGCCAGAAAATGGATGTTTTAGGGATTTAATGGGATTGTATATGTAAAAACGGAATGCTTTGAAAAGTACAAAATGTTCTACCTATGTCAAAAAACAAGTATCCAGTAATTTATGGAATGGAACTCTGAAAGCTGGGGAGAAATAACGGGCGTCTGAGCTTTTGGAAGGAAAAAGGCATGATTAAAAAGTCTGATTATGGCTAGATTTTTTAAAAAGTCAGATGCAACTATTTTCTCAAACCATAGTCTAAACATGATTTTAGTTATTTTGGTTTGATTCTACTAAATTATATCATGTATTCTATTGGTCTTTTTCGTTTGGATGGAAGGAACGAATGAAACAAGGGAAAGGTAACCTTTTGATTGAAGAAATAATTGCCGGGATCATGACAGATGTAGGATGTTAGCATTTTCTTTATATTGTGGTCTGCTTCAAACATGGCCTGTTCTTCTTGGAAAGAATTAAGGTAAATGAGGTAGATATTAAAACCTATGTATGCATGGGTTAATTTTCCATGAAGTCAGTGCTCAAAAATTTCATTTATCAGACCTTGCTGAACTGTGTAGCTTTCCTTTTTAGACTTTGACATAACTGCTGAGCCTTGTGGCTCTGCTGTGTGTGTGTGCTCTGCATTTTCTCTTTTGAAATGATTAGACTATGCGGGCATGATTAAGGCCTATTTACCTGCGTGGTATGGTTTGTTTCACTGTCAGAGGTCTCAGAGTTTGGCACTTTTTACAAATAGGCTTCCTCCAGTTCCCCTTTCCTACTTGTGTCCAGCTGCCCATCTTGCCGGGTGGTTCCTGCTGTGAGTCCTCAGGTTAACAGGAGAATGTTTCTATGAGCCTAAACTGCCAGGGTTAGGTCAACGGTATGCCCAACCCGGTGAGCAGCTCTCCCTGGCTGCCCTGCGCAGCCCCTGTGTTTACCTAGCTGGAGCGTGCCGCCTGACAAATTTATGGGTAACTGTCTCTCTGCTTCTCTTTCTCCTTCTCTCCGTCCCTCTTCCGCCAGGCGGGCGCCTCGGTGCTGTCTGGAGCGGGAGAGAGCACCAATCCCGAGAACAGCGAGCTCAAGTACTCAGGTCAAGATGGGCTGTACATCGGCGTCAGCCTGGCCTCGCCAGCTGAAGTCACATCATCCTCGGTGAGACAGGATTCGTGGTGCGCCCTCGCCCTGGCCTGAGCCGGCTCCGGGAGCGGGAGGGCGCACGACCTGCGGTGATTTTGTCCAGCAGTCCAGACTGGGGCGAGTATGCTGACCGAACATTCCTCTGACGCGTGATTTCCGTGCCTTTATTTTGAAAGAGATGTGTTTCCCAAGAGGCTCGCTCTGCCTTACCACCCAGCCCCGTCTCTGAAGAGCAGGAGAGAAGATGGAGCTGCCGGGCCAGGCCGGTGCAGCCCACGCACGTCACCTCCTCCCTGGCCACAGCCACTTCCAGCCAGCCTGCCTCTGGGTCTGCCAGGGGATGCGGTGTTCGCTGTGCAACTTCCAGAAACCGGGACTAGGACCAGCGCCTTGCCGGCTAAGGAATATTGAGAGATTTTTAAAAAAGGTTTTATGTGTATTGCCCCAAATCATGTGCTTCTTCTGATTGGTTTTGGTTATTCCAGAATTTCTTCATACCTTTTCCACACCCAGATTTCACATGCGTTGACGGAGAAGACCATTTGAGGCCATTTGGTACACACCTCTGGAGGCTGAGTTGGTTCATGAGGTCTCTTGTCAAAAATATTGCTCAGTTTGCAAGACTGCGTTCTAACTGTAATGTACACTGTGACTGACGGCTCTCAAAGTTCATATTGTGTGACTGACCTGAAGTCAGTCAGTATTTGTAAACAGGGTAGCAAACAAGATATTTTTCTTCCATGTATACAATAATTTTTTTAAAAAGTGCAATTTGCGTTGCAGCAATCAGTGTTAAATCATTTGCATAAGATTTAACAACATTTTTTATAATGAATGTAAACATTTTAACTTAATGGTACTTAAATAATTTAAAAGAAAAATGTTAACTTAGACATTCTTATGCTTCTTTTACAACTACGTCCCGTTTCTATATTTCCAATTGTTAAAGAAAAATATTTCAAGAACAAATCTTCTCTCAGGAAAATTGCCTTTATCCATTTGTTAAGAATTTTTATACAAGAACACCAATAACCCCCCTTTATTTTACTGTGGAATATGTGCTGGAAATTTGCAACAGAACTTTACTACCTAACAGGTAACATTTGTAAATACTCTAGGCATCTGTACACACTATGATGAAGTCTCTGTCGTGTGACTAACCCACAGGCAGGTTGGTTTACGTTAATTTTTTTTAAATGGGATGTCATATGGAAACTATTTCACCAGAGTTTTAAAAATAAAAAGGGTATTGTTATGTCTTCTGTACAACGAGTTCCTTCCCTTTCAGTTTCATTTTGATACTGTATGTGGCTGTAGATAATCATATAAAACAAGCGCATGTGGTGTTTGCAAATTGCCTTACGGCCTTCCTTTCAATGAATTGTCCTGTTGGAACTGTTTTATGCCTTGGCTTATTTGAAGTTGGGATATGGAGTTAGTTGTCACTGTCAATTTGCAGTGGGGACAGTTTTTATAAGTGAAAAGGACCCAGTATTATATGACATTATCTGAGATTATAAGCACTCTGTTTAGGATCAATCTTTATAAACATTTAAGAAGTCCGGAGTTTCTCTCCCTCTAAATGAAATAGTCTATGGCCCAGAAACAAACGGTTTCTTTTCTAGTTCCTCCCTTTTGCAAAGTGCCATAAAGTCTCAAAACTCATCTAAGATTGAACTCCTTACACTCACCAGAAGATATAAAATGATCTGAACAGTCTCTGTTTTTTCCTCATTGTTGGGTGGGTTTCCGGAAATCAGGAGGCTGTTTCACAAGACAAAATGGTGGCATTTCATTTTGGCTCCCTAAGCATGGGGCATTTTGACTTATTTTCATGTACTGATTATAGCCATTCTGTGGGGTCCAGTCTGAATCTTTTAAGAGGAGGGAAATCTTCCTTTGTGGTGAGGTGGTGTTGGAAGTCAGACTCGGGGCTGGCGTGTGTGTGTGTCTGGGGAAATCACTAAAGCCTGCATGCACTCTGATACCATATGGTGGTCTAGATCAATGGTTAAGAGAGCTGGGTCTGGAGGCAGACCACTAGGCTTCCAGTCCCTGCTCTGCATGCATGAGCTCTGTGACCTTGGGCAAGTTATCCAACTCTGACTTTCCTCATCCGTAAAATAAGGTCAATAACATGTAACTCGGGATTAAATGAGATAATCCATGTGAAGTGCCTCGCTCAGTGCCTGGCCATACTAAGCCTTAAGTGTTAACTTGACTTAGAAGGAGGATGGCAGGAGCTCCTACCAGATGGGTGTTCTGAATGTCTTACTGCCTGTGGGGCGTCAGAAGTTTCTGGTCTGTGCGAGTCTGATGTCCCCTGGCTCACCTGCACTTCTTGAACAAGGCTCAGGAGAATGAAATGAGGGATCCCTCCCAGCCCGGGGGGTGGCAGAGATCGAGGGAGGATGCCGGAGAGATACCAGTCTGAGTTTGGTAGATTGTTTGATAGAACAGTGCTGGTCTGACAGCAGAAGAAAATTATTATCCCCACTAACTCGTTTTTTTCCCTCCCTCCTCTTAACAGTTTTCATTACTTTGAGTGCTTTCTGGTGGGTTAGGAGTTGTTAGAGTTAATATGCTTTGATGGGAAAATGAAATTTTTCTTTTTGGGGCTTCCAAATAATCTTTTTTTCTGTGGATGGTCTCAAATGTTGCTCCTTCCAATCCTCAGATGCCATTAGGTTGCTAAAGCTCCTATTCTTTTTTTAGAACATAAAGGGGAAAGAATTTTAGCTTTCACGAAATAAATTAGGCACAGAAGGAGGGAAAGAGGGCTTCTTGGAGCCTGTGTTAACACAATGAACTCTGCTCATCTGGGCCTTTTCAACAGTAACTTTCTCACCTGTGATTGTATAAAGCAAAAGTTCGATAATTTGTTCCAAATACACAATCTCAGCACCCCTCCCCCAAAGTATGACATACAAAAAACAAGTCATTTCTCACTAGGGAGTGCATTTAAATAGATGGTGCACCTCAGCTTAAAAAGCCTGCAGACTCATTACCATGGTTTGCAGAATTTATGTCCTCTGTCACCCATGGCTGATTTTAGGCCATCTTATATAACTGAAGGCTCTGTCTGGGGTCTCTCTTCAGGGTCACTTCGTGTTGTTTCCTGGTGCCTATGGGAGGGTCAGGAAAGCAAAGGGAGCCATTCATTTCCCCCTGCAAATAAATTAACTTGCTCATGGGAAATGTTTTCCCTAGTCCTTGGAAATTTGATGTAATTTCAGATCATAGATAAATTAGCTGCTGGGAGGGCAATACAGCAAGTCTTTGGTGGCTATGCCAGATTCCAGGCTGCTTTCAATTTGGGGCAGTGTGGTGGCTTCTGTGTGTTAAGTTCTCTCTGTGCTGGTGTCGTCCCCGGGGTCTCCGGATCCCTGAGACTGAGAGGGAAATAATAGGTGTATGTGGGAGGGTGGGAGGGCGGAGCAGGGAGTCAAACATTTATTCAGAATAAGGCAGCTCTAGCTGCTTAAAATGTGTTTTGTTTCTGGGTTGAAAGAGCAAGTCAGTTTGGTAATGCTGGTTATCGCCTGTTGTTTGGAAGCTCTGATGGGCCGTGAGATATGAGTTTGATTATTTTAGATGAGAAACTAATCATAAATTTGCTAGACCAAAATCTTTCAAAACAGGGTCTGTGGGTGAAAATTTGGTGCCTGCAGCTCTGGCCAGTTGAGGCCTCAGGATGGATTCTATGTGGCTGACCCTTTGGCTGGAGCTGGATTCTGAGCAGACCCCTCTGTTGGCTCGGGTCTCTGTTGGGAGTTTGGGGGAAGGGATCAGGGACAAGGTGATAGCTGTCTGCAGGACCTGCAGAGGAAAGGAATCGTATGGTGTCTTCAGTTGGTTCAACTCTAAGATATTAGTAGGCTGAAAGCCTAAGTAGGTTCATAGAAGCTTTGGCTAAATAAATAATTGTTAAGTCCAGATAGTTTCTAGAGGAAAGTTAGAATGGTGCAGGTGCACGTCAGACCTCTGAGACTCACGTGAGAGCCTGTCACCGAGCTCCCGCCAAGTGCTTTATGGCTCTCCCAAATCTGCACGGGGGACTTGCGGGACAGCTGCTACTTCACTGTTCTTCCTGCTCAGTGGCTGTCACAGGGAAGTGATGGTTTCACAGTTTATGTCACTGTTTTAGTTAAAGAGATACTTATTTTGCTTGGTGGCTTTTTTTTTCTTTGTTTAAGAATAAACATTTAAAAAATGGCTAAAGTATAGCAATTAAAGATGAAATCATGTTTAATTTGTAGAAGGGCCTATATTTCAGACATCAGGGGTTCCCTGTGGTGAGATAATCACCTAGATATCCCTTAGCTTTTGGGCAAGTCATTTCCTCTCTCTCGACGTCAGTCTCCGCAGCAGCCCTAAAACAGAGCAATCAGGTGGTGTGGTCTCAAAGTTCCCTTCCATCTGCTTTTGCTGCCCAGAGCCCCACGTGCAATGAGGTGATGGTGGGTCTCTGGTCGAGTCTGCGTTCCCCGAGTCTGAGAGGCCTCCTGAGGCGCCTCCATGACTAGGGAAGCCGGTGGGATTGGAATCTCCTCCTAGCTCTCTTCTGGTTCCCTCACCACGTCAGGTTTTGATCTGTGGAGACCAAGTCCTCCTGTTGCCTTAGGCCACAGAGGGTGAGTCCTGGTCATATTCGTGAACTTAGGGGCTTGGTAAGAGGTGCTGCCGCCCCCTAACACCAAACCTGCTTGGTCTGGGGCCCCTGATATAAAACTTATACAGTGATACAGACCCAGACCGGAAAATGGAAATGTCTGGCAGCTGAGCAGTTCGCAGAACAAGGAAAAAACAGCTTTGCTTTGCTTGGCCCATTGCTTCAATATCTTGTAGTTGGTTTTTTATTTCTTGGAAACAACCAACTTTTCATTGTTGCTTGCCTTCTGTGTCTTCTCTTTAGCCACTCCAGTGTTTTCCTCCCTGTCTCTCTACCCCTTCCCTGGGTTTTAACCTTATTTTTGAGAATTCTATTCCTTTAACACTCCAAGACTGGTCTGAAATAATAATAGCAAATATTTATCTAGCACTTACTACGTGCCAGTTTCTATACAAAGCGCTGCACAGATGTTGATTTATCTGATCCTCATACCAAGTGAATGAGGTGGTGCTACCCCCATTTTACAGATGTCTACAGAGGCACAGAGAAGTTAAGTAACTTGCCCAAGGTTGCACAGTGGCAAAGCTGGGATTTAAGCCTTGGCAGTCTGGCTCCAGAGCACATGCTCTTAATCACTCCACCATATTGTCTTGTCATCT